CTAAGGCCATTCTATGCCTTCATTTCTCTTTCCTTCAACTCACTCAGGATATTGTTCTTATGTGAAATAAAGATACTTATACTTGCCCCATTTAAACTCACAGGGACAAATGAAAAAAGATACCTGAAATACTCTACAAATGGCAAAGTTGTAGAAAAATGATGTAATCCTAAATCAGTTTCTACCAAGTTCAGTTACAGAAAGCTTCAGCTTCAGTTTCCTCATGTTCAAAATGAGAAAAGGTAACAAGGTAACTCTGGATTTCAACTTCCTATTTTTAAATGATTCCAGTGTTTTGGTAAATAATGTGAAAATAGACACTCTTGATGGACTGTGAAGTATCATACTCAGACTACTTAAATAGCATAAAAGACAAACAGATATCACACTGGAAATACCCATTACCTTACCTACTTATATTCCAGCTCCTGCAAAGTTAGCATAGGGAAGAGAAACAGTGGTGCTAACAAACATTTCTAGAAGCTCAGCTGCAAATGAATACAGCTAGATAAAAATACTGTATCTAGACTTTTGATGGTTGTTCATAACTTATTTTAAACTGTCTTTACATTTAAAACATAAGAAAAAATAGACCCTAAGAGTAATTAGAAAATAAACACAAAATTACTTCCACATACCAGTATAAATAATTAGCCAACGTTGAGTTTTTGCAGGCTCTTGATATCAGGAATGTACAGAGATCTTGCTGCAAGAAGTAAAAGAAATGTATATATACATTACCATCTGCTGTTAACAGGGGTGAGGTAAGCAAGTCTATATTTTATTATCAGTTTTCATCTGTATATCTTATGTAACAGATCGGATTTTCATCCATCCATCTATCCCTCCATCCATCCATTCAATATTTATTCTAAACCAGACAATATGTAAGAGGTTAGGACGCCACAATTCGCAGAGCTCCTTGTCCTCCTGGAGTTTAATATTTGGTAGAGGAGAGACACATTAAAGAAATGGTCATAGAAATAATTTAGGCTGGGAGGTTAGAAAGGGCAGCAATGAGGACATAACATTCAGGCAAGACCAAAATGACACTATGTACAAAGGCTCTGAGTTTGGCTTGTTCAAGCAATTTTAAACCATATAGCTAAAATACAGTGAATACTAAAGTAAAAGAGGCTGAAAAGATAGGCCAGGGTCAAATTATGTGACCTTTAAAATCACAGTATTATTGGGTATAGGTTTTATTTTAAAAGCAATGGATACCCAACAAAAGATCCTACAGGAGGGTGAGATGATCTGATTTACATTTTATGAAAATGACTCTGGTTGCTCTAGGAAGTATGAACGAGATCAGTGCGGATGCTATTAGAGTAGTCTAGAAGAGTGAACAGGTGAGAGTGGAGATGGAGAGAAGGAGACAAATGGAAGAAATATCTTGGAAGTATAACTAACAGGACTTGCAGATAGAGAGGAAACAGGAAAGAAGGTAATAGACAGTAAACTACCAAATTTCTGGATTTAGCAAATGTGTTGATTTGTTATGTCACAGATGGAAATTTTAGACGAGGAGCTGGCTATGGAGTGAGGGGAAAGAGTTGTATTATATTTTGAAATATTAAATTTGAAATACCTGGCAGATATACAATGGAGATCAAGTAGGTATTTGGATACATGAATCTGAAACCCAGATGAGAGATCTGAGCTAGAAATATAAATTTGAGTTTATTAGTACAGCCTAGGGCAAGAGTATAAATTGAGACTAGAAGAGGACCCCAAGGAACATTAAGATGTCAAGCAGAGGAGAAACTGCTGACAAAGGAAACTGAGAAGGAATAGCAAGAGAGATGAAGAGGAAAACAAGGGATATATGGTACCCCTAAACCATGAGAAGAGTTCGTTTTTCAAGAAGAAAGTTATTTACTTTGTTCAATACTCTAAAAGAAACCATAAAGTATGTATAATCAAAAACATGAAAGTCATTTAATAACTTAGCAAAGCAAGTTTTAAGCAAAAACCAGAATGACATGGACTAAAGACTGAAAAGGAAGGGAAAAGTATGTATAAACAATTCCTTTGAGAAGGAAGTAAGAAAATAAAATGCTGTTCAAGGGATGTGGTGTTGAGGGAGAGCTTTATTTGTTTTTCTGAATTTTTAAGATGGAAAGTACTAACACATACTTGAATATTTCTATCAGGAAAAGAAAATAGCACATAGTTGACGGGAGTTATGTTTTTTCTGTTTAAAAAAACGGACGGAAAGGATGGGAAGGGATTCATGTCTACAAATTTGGTGATGGGAAACTAAGACCATTCTCACCTAGTGGCTTCTATTGTTTCCATTAAGTATTAGGCAGAATTGTCATCTGCAGATTGGGAGGCAGGGTATGAAGAACAGAGCGGAAAACGTATGAAAAAATCTCTGTAGAGCAGGGAGATCAACCTACCTAGAGAAATGTAAGATGGCAGAGAGCATTCAATGCTCATCTCAGGTTTGTGATCATGAATTTAGAGTGACACCAACATGTCAGGCTATGTATTTTTCTTCAGCAATATTCAGGCATAGAGAAACTAGGAAATTAATTGGGAAGAATTGAGATTTTTACCAGAGGAACTGCAGGTACTAATAAAAGAATGACCTTAAAATGATGACCCATGGGACAAAAGCTACATTCAGAAGAAAGCAAATGTTGAAGAAGGCTGATGAACAAAGAAAAGGGTAGAGATCAATGGATTAGAAGTTTCAATGCAGTAGGGGTTTAAGAAAGTAAGCAGAGTAATAAGAGGTTGTTATTACAAAGTAGATGTGCCAATGCTTTCAGAGGTGGTAAGAATTTTATCTCCAATTCTAGAGCTAAAACTTTAGGTCTGTATTTTAAATGTGCAACAAAAAGCCAACAAGGAACGTCCTCAGTCAGAAAGCCATCATGTAAAGCTGAATCCGTAAGTTTATGAGGCAGAATCTAGGCCTAAAGTTTATCTTTTGCCTGTACAACAAGAACATTATACTTTTGTATAGTGTCATATATACTGTAATACAAAAATTTCTCATAAAAGTTATTTATAGAACATAAGTAGGAAAGAATTAAATTGAAAAAATTGGGAAATGGGAAATATGTACTGTAAATTGTTAAACTCAAGATGGGCAACACATTAAAATTTTAAAACAATTTAAAGAAAGGAATGTGCTTTATGAAAAAAAAAATGATCTCATGTTGTAGGTCAGAGATAGAAGAAGAAATGGTAAGTAAGGATACAGGTACCCTTAGAAATAAATATCTCCAAATATTTACTGAGTGTGTGTAATAATAACAATAATAATATCTAATTTGGGATTAAGTAACAAGACGGGATGGGATGGAGGATGGGGAGAGGGATTTAGCCGAAGACAGGCAAGAAAAAAAAATATATATAAAAGAAAGGATACAAAGTACTACATAAGATGGTAAAATAAATCCCAAGATAGCTTTAATCACAATTAAAACAAGTGGGGTAAAAGTTCCAGTTAAAAAACAGTGTTAAAACGGATTAAAAAACAAAATTTAGCTATATGATGTTTACAAGAGTTAAACCTAAAATATAAGGTCACAAAAATTTCGAAAGGAAAGGATCAACAAAGTATACCAGTGAATACTAATCAAGACAAAGCTCTATTAATATCAGACAAAACAGACTTTAGGGCAAAAAGCATTATTAGATATAAAGAGGGTTACTAAACAGTGACAAAAGATTCAATTTACTTGAATGTATTAATACTCAATAAAAGAGTTTCAAAATATTTAAAGCAAACACCAACAGAAATACATGGAGAAACTGATAATTCCACCATCATACAGGGGAATGTTACCTTAGTTCTTTCACAGATCGAGCAGAAGAAAACATAAGGACAGAGTACAAAAGATTTTGACAACACAATGAACAAGCTTGCTCTAGTGACTTATATACAATTCTGTACCCAACGGTTGGGAAATATACCTTCTTTTCGAGAACCCATGGAATTTATAAAGTATGTCCATATTTGGGCAATAGAACTGACTTTCTATTTTTTTTTTTTTCCAACATTTGGCCAGACATGTAAAACGTTCTCCTAAAACTCCAAGAGAGAAATGAGGAAAGACGTAAGACACTGCTCAAGTGTCAGGAAAAAGATAGGAATAACGGTATCTCAAGTTGTGATAAGAAGAAAGTGAATTTAGCTTGGTTGGATATCAACTTAAAGGTGACGACTGCTTGTACAGTATTATTACTCTACTGAGGGTGGGGGTGAGGGAGGGAACTATTATTCAAAATGATCAACACTCCTTTCTGGGATACCTTTAAGAAACTATTCAACTGAGAAAAAGTAAAGTGGGTAATCAGTGATTAACAAAGATAGCTCGTCAGTCATAAGAGATATATCAGAACTATACAAAAACTATTATCATTTTTAGCCTAAAAGTTTTCAGTGACAGGTGGTGTGTAAAACAATATTCCGAACATAAATTCGCAGCATCCAGAGTGTAAACCAACCTGGTCCAACCCAACATGTCTTACCTGGATTACTTCAATAGCTTCCAAGTAAAACTCATTCAGTCCAACGGCTACAAGCCCTACACGAATGATATCCAATTCTCTCTTGAACCCAATTTTCTGCCATGCTCACTTTTGCTCACTACCCAACCAGACATGCTAGCCTCTGTTGTTCCATAAACATAAACACTTAAGTTCTGGTCTTAGGGCCTTTATACTTGCTATTTCCCCTGTTTGAAATGTTCTCCTCCTAGATAGCTGCATGGAAATTGTTCCCTCATGTGCTTCATCTTTACACAGATGTTACTTTTTCAGCAAAGCCTTCCCTGATCAATCTTTGCAAAATTGCAACCCCCTAACCCCTCCCGAACACATCCTCTCATCTCTCACTTATTTTTCCCAAGAGAAAATATATATCATTCTCTCCTACTATATATAAACATCATTGACCATCGCCCACCCCAACAGTACAATGTAAGCTCCAAGAAGGCAAAGACTATGACTGTTTTGTTTTCTGCTGCATCAACCCCAGCACCTAGAACAGTCTCTGGTACATACTAAGAGCTCAAAAAATATATGTGAATGAATCAATCAATGAATCAATATCTTAGCTTTGAAAGGGCAAGATAATTGTATGTAGGGGGATGGTTTAAAGAGCTCATCTAAGGATTCTATGATCCTGTGATTTAAAAATTCTTTTTTTGGTTAAGTATTTTCTGTTATATCAAGAGGTATGCAAACATGCAAACATTAATGATTAACAGTTATAACAGAAGATTCAGTCAGTTATTAACTCCTAAAATCTGACTAAAAGCAATAAAAAATCATATGAACTTTTTGTCTCTTTTTTTAACTTTTATAGATATAGGAGGCTTAAGTGCAGTTTTGTTACATGGATATATCTGTGTAGTGGTGAAGTCTGGGCTTTTAGTGTAATTATCAACTGAATAGTGTACACTGTACCCATTAAATACTTTCTCATCCCTCACCCCACTCCCAACCTCCCCCACTTCTGAGTCTCCAATATCTATTATTCCACTCTGTGTGTACACGTTATTCGGTTTCCATTTATAAATGAGAACATAGGGTATTTGGCTTTCTAAGTTATTTCATTTAAGTTGGTGGCCTCCAATTCTCCATCCGTGTTGCTACAAAAGACAAGATTGCATTTTCTTTGGCTGAGTAGTATTCCATAGTATATACACATATACCACATTTTCTTTATTTAATCATCTGTTAATGAACACTTAGGTTGATTCTATATCTTTGCTATTGTGACTAGTGCTGCAACAAACATGAGTGCAGTATCTTTTTGATATAATGATTTCTATTCCTTTGGGTAGGTAGCCAGTAGTGGGACTGCTGGATCGAACAGTACTTCTATTCTTAGTCCTTTGAGAAATTTCTATGCTGTTTTCCATAGAGGTTGTACTAATTTACATTCCCACCAACAGTGTATAAACCTTCTCTTTTCTCT